GGCGGGCGCCGCGGCGCGGACATGGCGGCGCCGTGAGGGCCCGCGCGCAGGGCGGCAAGCGCCGCTCCAGCGGCCGCGGCCGGGCCGTTCCCGCCGTTTCGGGCTGGCGGGTACGGGAAGGGCTGCGGTGCGTGTTTGTTTTTCTGGGAAGACCTGGTGTTGGGAAAGGGCAGCCGCTCCTGGCTCGGGATTCGGTAAAACGGGGCCTCGCTACCCAAAATGAAAGCGCTGCCTCGTGCCCTGCCGGCCGGGCTCCCTGCCCTGGTCGGGGGGTTTCATGACCGCCTCTTGCCCCCCAACCCAAAGGCACAAGAACCCCAGGAGTCACCGTCGTCGGCCCTCCGTGGGAATTTCAAACTCCCTTGCCAGAATTTTACCATTAAAAAAAAAAAAAAAAAAAAAAAAAAGTGTGTTATTTACATCGTGGTAAGAACAAAAACAACAAAACCCCAATCCTTAATGTTTTCATGATACAAAGCACAAAAGGTTTTTATAAAAACAGCAGTGATGTTTTTACCATATTTAGCAACACCTGGAAAGGAAAGAAACAAGCTCAGGAGCCCACAGGAATGTGTGATAAGGAGTTATTTAGTCCAACCAAGGCTGTAAAAATGAGACGCAAACTAGCAGGGGTGAATACATCGCAACTGGGGGGAAAAAAAAGTCTTGGGAATTGCAAGAAGGAGTACAATAGAAGGAGTAGCCTTAATCATCAGAACATAATAGTAACATTCTAGAATGTGGAAAACAAGGAAAGCAGGCAGGGGTTCTCATGGAGGTACCTCAAAGGTAGAAGCAGCAAATTGCAGTGAGCTATATAGAAAGTATTACTAAAATGCCATAATATCTGCTGCAAAATGTGGCAATACCCTCACCCCAAATACTATTTTCAAATGAGTGTCCCTTTGTACTCATGTACTCGTGTCATGTAACTACATTTATTTAATTAAAGCTGTGGCTTTACGCTAGCATGAGATATTGCTTTACATTAAAMTAGGCTCTCTACACCACTCAGGCTTGGTCTACATTTGATCTGCGTGAGCGTGAGGATGTGGCTGCATTTTTACTGCGGCAGAGAACATGGTGCTGGTGGAGCCTGCAATGGACCAGGTAATCCCTAATCTGCAACGACTTCTGCAGCACGAAACTGTGCTTGAGAAATGTTTTGATCCAACCTGAACCACTGGAGTGTGTCCATGCAACACCTAGTGTCATGTGGATGCAGCATGTTTGACCTGGCATTTGCCTTCTTGCAGTACTGGGACTGGACCTGCSATGAAGCGGTGGCTGACGTGGCTCCCTGCGGCAGCTTCCTCATGGAGAGCGGGGAGGAGGGAGTCCTCTAGCGGCAYTGCAGACGTTTTTATTTACATTTCTGTTAGTTTTTGTTAACCACAAAGGAGTTTCAGGGCACTAGCTGGATAAACCCAGCTAACTACATCAGATGTTCAGAAATGGATGAAAATACTGGAGCTCCCCAGTAYGAGAGAGGGGTGACATTAGTGGAGACAGTCCAGCAAAGGGCTATTAAAATGGTAAAGGGCCTGGAGGATCTCTCAGGAGGAAAGGCAGAGAGAGCAACAGCTCCTCACTGTAGGGAACTGACGACAAGAGAAATCTGAAAGGATTCAGCACATCTGAAGAGAGGATCTAAATGGGATGAGGCCAGGGATGAGGCCAGAGTCTTTTCAGTGGTGCCCAGTGACAGGATGAGAGGCAACGGGCATGAACTGAAACATGGGAAGTTCTGTCTGAATCTAGAAAGCAAATGAAAAAAAAGAATCCCTTTTTACTGTGAGGATGACTGAGYAGTGGAAGAGGTTGCCCAGAGAGCTCATACAGCCTCCATGCTTGGAGATACTCAGGTGCCATGTGCATGTAGTCCTGGGCAGCCTGGTTTAGATGACCCCACTCAAACAGATGATCTTTAAAGTCCCTTCCAACCTGAGCCATTCTGTGATGCTGTGAAATAACATAGGGGGAAAATACAACATCTCACGAATGCCTGAGATGCATCGTAGCTGAGTTAAAGCACAATTTATCTGATGAAGTTACCCCAGACAACGAAGACTGCAGCACAGACGGGCGAGTGCCGAGCTGTGCAGCCCTCACTGCATCACTGCAGTGACGAACAGCATTCATCCCTAGTAAGCACTTAAGCCATTCAGGAATGAGAATGACCAGTCAGATTAAATGATTATAAAACTGCAGTTACAGTTTTTGGTAAGGGGCTTTTTAGTATATGCATGTGCTTATGTTTCTGGGTCACTTTTGGGGTATATATCTGTTTTCTTACAATATACAAGGTATTCAGAAAAACACTTGCAAACATAAAAACTAGAGAACAATGTTGCTAGTTTTCTGTATTTAATATACAATACTTACTGCATTTGTATTCATTTTACATTTTTTGATAAAAGTATAGCTAGAAAAGTGAAGTAAACTTCAGGCAAGCGGTTTTAAATACAAAACTTTTTTTGTTTGTTTTTTACTTTCCAATAATTTGGGAACAACTAAAAGAACTTGACACCAGGAAGCTTTTTATTATATTGATTGTTTTTCATACCGAACCCTCAGCACCCAACAATAAATACACAACTTTTCTTTTCTTGCACTGCCAGCAGCAAAACGTTCAGTTCCGAAGGATTGTAATTCTGATAAGGTACAATATTGATAACTCTCCGTGTGCCTTAACTTAATGTTGCCGTATTGATTATTTTTGCAGTCCACCGTCTTGGCAAACTCGGGAAAGCCTAGGAATATATGTTACATGGTAAGGTGCCTGCCTGGAAGCGTATGCTCCGATGAACTTCCATGCCATCAATGCAGGGCAGCCCCTGCCCAGGGTGTTCTCAAATCAGAAAGCCTCGCGGGGTGACATTTGGGACACCAAATGGCTTGGAAGCTCCCAAGGAGAGCGCTAGACTTTCCAGAGTGTCTGCATTATTTCCCAGCCATTCTGTACAGCAGAAACAGAGTTTTTTTTTTTTTTTTTTTTTCCAATGCCTATATGGTAACCAGCAGCTGTGCAAGAAGAGGGAGACTGCAAGATTTCATGTACAGCAATGGTGCAGTACTTTTATATACCACAGTTTGCATTTTGTAGCCCCTTGACGCAGTATTTATGATTAAACAGTAAACCAGTATATGTAAGCAACAATTCAATAAATCACTTCATGCTTCTCTGTACCTCTGTAGATGATAAAGACACCGTGTTTCACACACAGGTGAATGAAAAGAATATGAAGAACACTGAGTAGTAATTATTAAGCACACAGAATAAAAAATAATGATGCACCTTTAAAAGAGACAGTAACACACGCACCTTTTCATGTTTGTACCCTGATTAAAATAACATCATGAATTTCAAGTATGAAGTGATACAGTGAGATCATGTCCTGTGAATACGTATCAACGGTAGTCTAGGTAGTTCAGTTTGCACCTTAGGTCACCTCACACTTTGCAAAATCATGTCCTGCTGCATGTGTAGGTAAAGTGACTTGCAATGTTAAAACCCTACGTGCCAGCTACTCTGCTGGCGTGAGCGGATCAAATGGTGTAGAAGTCAACGGGACTACGCTGATTTTCACCAGTCGAGTCCATGTCCTAAGGTGAATTAAATAATTGGAACCACTTTTCATGGTTTCCTTGATTACCACATCCTAGACATCTCCAGAGCAAATGATATTACCAAGAAAAAAACAAAAAGAAGAGAAAAAAAGTCAAGTGTCCAGCATTACCTGCTGCTGCAATGTTTTAAATTCTTCCCATGTTATTTGTAAAATCACACTGAGGAATAAAGATACTGAGGCAGATGTTGATTTGCTAATGGGTATTAATCTGAAGTAACATCAACTAATAACGTTACTCTGGATGTGTCCCAGATGCTGGCCCCACTGTTCCGAATGCTCTGTAACCCTGAAGAGAGAGGTTTCAGTAATGCCTTTCGAGAAGACAGATTTCAGAACCAATGTCCCGGAGGGGTTTCACACAGGCTTAACTCTACACAGTTCTCCTGTTAACTTGAGGGGTTTGTAACTGTAGGTAGGCACACGTGGAGTGTCTGGAGCAGCTGGAACTGAAGCTTCTTTCTGATACATTTGTGTACCACCATCACGCCTTTCTGCACCTATTCCAATGCCACTAAGAAGTGCACTTCTGAGCTCTTAAGTAATGATCAGAAAAACTGAAAAAGAGTTAATGTCATGTCACCATTTGTATAGTATTCTTGCTGATTTACTAACCTTAATTATTTTTATATAGACCTGAGCTGCCTGACACTGAATTTTTTAGACCTACAGGGTCAAAATCTTGATTTTATTCAACTGTAGTCAGTGGAGTTACAACACGAGTAAACTAGACTAAACCATTTTAAATACTTTGAAACTCCAAGCCTATTTCATGCAATTGTCCATGCACCAAAATACCTACATTTGCTGCCTTTTAAGCATTTGTTCAGCCAACAGTCTTATTTAAAACCAAGAAGGGCAATTTTATCATTACAAAAACCTTACATCAGTTGCAAGATGCCAGTTGCAACACTTGTGCACTGGTTAAGCATCTGGGCTTGACAGATACCTGCTGTAGCTACCACAAACAAAGCCCAAGGCAGCCTATGTAACGTTTTCTAAGTTTCATTTTTTAGACAACATTCCCACAGTATGTGTAAGATTAGCTCTACAATAGCATTTCAAAGTAATCCCTTAGTCCTGTACATATTAAAAGAAAAAATACCCTAAAGCATAAAAAATACATCTGAACACGCACAGTATTCTAGTTGCACACTCAATGCACAGTATGAAGCTTATTTATGAAYTTTTTGCCTGATCTAGCTTTCTGCCTCTATGGCACTAGCTTCAACCCAACAACCAAAAGGTATAGTAAACGCAAATAAACACAAGGCAGCAAGAGGCAACAGATTTTCCAGCAACTACCCCTTCACAGGACTAGTGTGTTTCATAACAGATATTATACTGAATTATAACAGCAAGAATTTATGCTAATGTCAAATTAACTTGGAAATAAATGTGTCCACATTTATCATGAGCACAARCCCCATTTACAGGTGTGTGGGTGCTGATGTTAACCACGTGTCCCCACAGCTGCAATCAGTTACTCCATGAAAGCAAAGCCTTTTCCTGCAAATCCTTCTTGTGAGCGACTCTGTTCACTGCAGTGACACCTGTGAGGCCCAGCGGCAGCTCCAGTGTTCGTGTGGCGGCAGCCCTGGCCTTCAGGCTGGCCCCAAGCACGGGAGGCAAGGCAGGTACAAACCCTGTTACTCACTATGTCGAGATGCAAGTGCCTTGCGATGCCTTCAGGACGTCCAACGTAAACAGCCTTTGCAACGCGTTCAGGCCTACTTCGAAGACATCGTTTTGTGGCTATAAGTTTTCATTAATTAGCACACTCAAAGACATTATGCTTTTAAGGCTGTTAAAAGTGATGCAGCTAAATATTACATTAATAATAAAATCCACAAGAGATTCAGTGTCAGAAAGAGACTACTTAAAAATGGATTAAGGTGGACCATAAATATATTGATCTGAACATTTGCAAAGGAATTAAAAGACGGGAAAGGGAAGAATAAATGGTTGCCTTTGGGCTTGAGTTCAGTGCCAAAATCACACCACTTTGTGTAGARAACAGATTCCTTCAGAAAAACAAATGACAACTTTGCATTTTCTCTATCCTAAGTATTTTAAAATGTGTTTCTTATGTCAACAAAAGTGACAGTCCTGTCTGTGAAAGGCACGTGGCTAAGATTGCTAGGGGCTCGTTCAGGCCCTGCTTCAGCTGCGACTGGCTCACACTGCTCATGGAAAGCACCACCGTAGTGTGAACTTCTTCTGCCCACGTTGCCGTGACTCTAAGTGGTTGTAGGAGGGGAGTTGGGATGCCAGGAAAAGGTTTGGAACACTGCAGAGGCTGACAGGGAGGGCATTAACTAGTGCTGCATACAGGGAAGGTGTCAAGATTTGGATTCTCTTTGCTGGAATCAAAACTGAGCAAGCTGATGCACCTGATATCGACCAGCACAGGGGGAGGCACACTGCTTGACAGTGCTGGTGCACTCTGATTTTGAGCTAGTAACCTAAAGGAATGGTTTTCAGTTCAGCTACTGACACATAATAGAAAGGAGAATAGTGGAGGTGAGATGACATAAAGCTGAAAATCCCACTAGGTGGGACATGCAGGGAGAAGAAGAAGGGAGAAGAAGAAAGGGGCAGCTCCGTCTCTGCAGCCTCTGCTACTCACACTTCTGGTTCCCTCCCTTGAGCCTCTCATGTCCTGACCGCTGTGCAGTGACAGGGGTCTGCACCTCAGCCTGTGCAGGACACTCAGTATTTGGAGAGGAGAAGCTTCCTATTCCCATGCAAGCCCCCATCAACAAGGCCTCTTCAGCAACAGCACAGCCACCAATTTCTTGCCAGCAGCCAAACTCTGATGGGCCTCCTCCCATGGGCCATGGTTCCAACTACCCTTTATGGAAAGGAACTTTATTAAAATAGAGTCCCCGCAAAAAACAAACAAACAAAAAAACCCCACAAAACGGATGGATTGTTAGTCCTACTGGAAAAAAGTCCTCTGTATTTTAGTAGCACATGGCAGACTCAAGCTTTAATTTAGTCCCACTTACTTTGCTGTCCATCTCCAACCACGGGTGCCTCTGTCAGAGGCAGCCCATCACCCTCTGCAGGAAAGGGGCACTTTGCTGCAGTGCGCCCATAATTCACCCTCATCGTTGTGTGCGGTGAGAAAGGTTTTCCCCAGATGTCCTTACAACCCTCGTGTTTGCAATGCCCAAACATCAGCTGTCAAAGAGACAGWAGCCTACAGACCCTGCAGATCCTGTGGAGACTTTTCAGGAGAAAAGGGGTTGTTATCTGCTCCAGAGGAGCTCCCAGACCAGCTTGACAGCTGGGGGCTTTGTATAAGACCTGTTTCATACTTGCTGTGACTCACTGTAGGAGAAAACCTGGGAACAGTGATACCTGGGAAGTGGGAGGGAAGAGGGAGCAGCAGCGAGAGGCTGGCGGGGCCAGGCCTGGCTGCATCTGTTAAAAACTTCTGTACAACAGAAGAATCATTGGCAGCTCCTGAAAACATCTTAAAACACAGGAATTTGGCCAAATATCTTCTACAATTAATAAATAACTTTYGGAACAAATACATTATGTTCACAGAATCATAGAATGTTTAAGGTTGGAAGGGACCTCCAGAGATCACCTAGTGCAATCTTCCCGCTCCAGCAGGGACACCCAGAGCGTGGGGCACAGRGYRGCATCCAGGCGGGTTTGGAAGATCTCCAGAGAAGGAGACTCCACAGCCTCCCTGGGCAGCCTGTGCCAGTCTAATCTATTCCTAATTTTCTGCTTGAGCCAAAGGATGTGATAGAAACCACTTTGACCTGACCTGATTCTATAAATCCCCCTTCCTATTGTGGAACAAGAGAAAACAATAGACCAGAGCAGGGGCAGGCAGGTTGGGGGCTGCAGAGTCGCAAGGAGGCTTTTGAAGGGGCTCTGGAAGTATTTGCCAGGCTGGACCCGAGTCCCCACGTGTTGCTGCAGTGAGAAGCAGGGGGCTCAAAGGCTGTTAAGGATGACAGTCTAGGGCTCCTTTCACAGTGGATGATCCTTTTACAGTGTCACTGCAGGATGATGCGGGATAAGGAGAGGACAGTGGCAGTAGCTGGGAGATCTGTCACCACATGATTGTGCCACATGCCAGAGGAGCACTGTGTAGAACTGGAGAAGGTTCCCTTTCTGGATCTGCAAAGTTTGTCTGTGCCCCAGGGCTGCTCGCTCATGTTTAATGGAAGAACTGGGATTAGCCCAACCCTGCTGCTAGTCCCGTCCTTCACCCACAGGGACTAATCACAACAAAATGCCACCCTGTGCTGGCAGCACAGTGGCAGAACAGCCRTTAACTCAGGCCCCCAGGTTGGCAAGGCAGCCCAGAAGCCCCGTAGCTGCGGCACAGCCACGGAGCCCTGCGCCTCCTCCTCGGCACAGCAGCCTGCAGGGGTAGCTCCGCTGGGCGCCACAAAGCAGCTGAGCCCGTTGGACTGACCCAGCAAAACACCTAGACATGAGGGTAGCCCAAAGCCAAGTGCCAGCTTGGAACGGGGCAGTGTCTACAGCCGACGGCAGGGGCAGAATAATGCTCGGCAGGATTGCACACGGACACGGATGCTCCCTCACAGGGACTTGTGCTTTTGAGCTGTGCCTCCCCATCACTGCTGCTGCTGCTGCTGCTGAACTACAGGCTCTGTCTGCAGGGACAGCTGGATGTCCTCTCCAACTGCCCAATCAGCACGAACGTGTTTTACATCCACACGCACAAATAACCTCTCTAGCTTCTGTAACAATCTGGTGTCAAAGACTGAGCTGTTGCTGTATTGAAAAACTGCTCTGAACTCAAAATCTGAGTGGCCCAACAAAGAGCTGGGAGTAAAACCCTGTGCAAGAATATTGCTTTATTATTATATTCTTATGAAAGTGAATGACAGGAGAAATCAAGATGTGGGAAAAAAAAGTCTTTCTCCAACCCTACGCTTCCAAATTGTCAAATTTACTCCCCCAAGTTGTCCTGAGCTCTGCTAATCCCTGCCATTTCTTCCTTTGTGGCACTTAGCAATTTTCCTCCCTCACTTAGCTACTCAAAATAGATCCTCACGTGAAAGTATGTTAAATAGAAAAACAGACAAAGCTTTACAAAAGGAAAGAAAAACAGAGAGCAGCATCTGCCTCCCATCGTTGTTATGTGGCATGCGAGTGGGGCTGAACACGGCTTCGATTGGAGCGTGAAGGGCCAGCACTGTGGGCAGCCGGGCACGGGCAGGAGCAGTCAGAAGTGCTGGGAGGTGAATAGCAAAAGACACGATTGCTCTAAGGCTCAGGATCTAAAGAACTTGCCAGGGAATGCAGTATAAAATTATGTATGAAASAGGCAATTAAGAGGAAAGGCTGCCTATTACAGAATGCTAATTGCAAACTCCTCCCAAGTAATCGCACGAAGGAAGCTGACAATCAAGCTACTGAAAATTCATTTGCCACTTGATGGCAGAGACTGTTGGTGGTTGGCTGTGCTTAACACGAGCATTTCAGCAGGATCAAATAGCAGTGTGAATCCTGGAAAATCTGCCTGGCAGGTGGAGGGGTTTAAGGTGCAAAAGGTCAAATAGTATGGATGTAAATTTTGCATTCTCAAAAATGGACAATAAGCTTGAGAGTCTTAGAGCGTGTGCACGTAGACATCACCAAAGCAAATCGCAGGCTTAGCATCACCTGTTTTCCCTCTCCTGTCAGGGAAATCTTATTGCCTGCTCTACTGCTGATGAACATGAAGATGCCAGTTAGAAAGAGTTCCTGCCTGTATTCTTTGTAAATCTCTACCAACTTGGTAAACTCAGTGAAAAGATACAAGTTTCCATGCATATTTAACACACATTCTTTGTATTTACATTTTTCACTTTATAAATACGTTCCCTTTCCGCTTACCTCAACAACACTTTTCCAGTAGTTCCTTAAAATCCTCTTTTCATTCTCCACTAAACATCTTTTCGTTTTAAGGCAACAACTTTTGTCTAACCTTTCTTGCAAACAAAAACCCTACGCTCTCATGCTCACCCAGCATTGAAGAGCCACCTCAGAGTTTCTCCTTGCTTTCTCCAGCCATCCAAAAGTCTGGCCAACCTCAGTGCACCTACAAAAGCCGAGATGTAGCCCGCCAAGGATCTTCTAACCTAGACCAAACATTTCACCTGAAGGAAAACAATGTCTTATGGCCAGAGAGATCAGAGTTGCTAGCTTTTTGGAAGAGTTCTTCTACGATGGTTGGGGATTTAACCTACTTGGGTGTTGCAGAAGCTCTCCTTGGACAAGGCCCACCTTGCTTAAGCCCAAGCAGCTTCTCTTTGGACTACCCAAAGCAACRTTGGGAGGTTCTGCTGAGAAAGCAGAGGGCTCACGTGAGCGCGGCGCTCACTCCTGCCAGCCTGGCCTGGACGTGAAGGGCGCTGCTGTCACCTGGCCTTGCAGAAGCATTTCTGAGAACAAGGTCCTATTCGATTCAGTTCTGTTTGGGTGATACTCATTGTCTGAATAAAAAATAAATACATAACTTCTGAAGGATATTTTCATGGAAAATATACCAGTTTCAAAGCATAAACCCATAAACATTTGTTATAGCTAAAAGAATAAAATTTTACAAGTTTCTACGAGCATTTTTTGAGATTTTTTTTTGATATTATATGTGCATAATGTTCCTAACTATTCTTACAGTGCTTACACTGTGCATGTATTGTATGCAATAAATACTAAGCTACAAACTAAAGAGGAGAAATAACCCTTGGCAAAGGTACCTTTGTCAGTTAATACATCCCTGTCTTTTCTCTTCTAATGGCCTAGTTCATTTAAATCAGTGAGAAAGCTTCTTATTCCTTTAAAGGAGATTACTGGGGTTTGATGGTTACACTCTGTCCAGAAACTGGAATTACATTAAATTATTACCTGAAAATTTGCAAAACAGAGATATAATAAATGTCTCACAAATAAACCCTATTTGAGTTATACTATTAAAATCATGGTCTTATTTTTGCACACCCAGAAGTGTATTTGCATAAAAAATGGATATGAAAATGCAAGTTGGAAAAGTAGACATATAAAATAACATGAACTTTTCTAAAGATTCTTTCTGAATTGTTTTTCCTCAGCAAAAGTAATCTGCATTCTCCAATATTTAATAAGCAAAAAGAAATACAACTTAGCTTATTAACAGTTACTGAAGACTTTAGTATATAAAATGTTATTCTCTGTGAATCTAAAAATATATTTAAATTTTCCCCCACAATGGCGGTTTTGAAAAAATGTTTTTCTAATATACTAATTTTAAGAAAATCATTTACACGTTAAGAGAAGTGTGAAATCCTGCTAACASCAAAAAGAGATCTTGATACTTAGAAGCACAGACACTTTTGCAGCAATACAATAAATATGCTAGGTCCCTAAGCTCCAGATCAATTCAAGCTTCAACACAACACAACAAAATCACTCGAATAGTCTAATATCTCCTAATTCACATTGTATATTAAATCTATCTATTCCTGAAACTATTGCATAAGAAAAATATTAGCAAAAAGTGGTTCTACATACCAGAGTTATTAGAATACTTCTTCCTCATTATTTATCTGCGACTTATACATGAAACATTATTAATTTATGTGGCCTTGTAAACCAAACTGTGTGGTTAATGATTCACATACACTTGTAACAACTGATGTGCTTTCAGTTGTGCGTCGGGTAAGTGCTGTACGTTTCTCTGAGAAAACACCAAACCAGCATGTTTTCTCTTTTCCGTATTAAGTTTGGCCCAGGACTTAACAGCAGCAAGAATGACCCCTTGTCTAGTAAAATAAGCTTCTCAAGGAGAGTGAGTAAACCTGTGAGAAGTSGCCTGGGCACAGAATTTTCATCTTATTCATCAGAAAAAAACCCAAAAAGCATCAAGTGAAAACAAAACAAAACAAAACAAACACAACAGAACCACAAGGCTGGATACCTCTGCTCACACGCAAGGTGCTCCAATGGTGCCTCCTACTGTTTCCTTCCATGTAGAAGGCTCCGCACACATAGCACCAAATTTCAGCACTTTCTGGACATGAAGCTCTCATTTGTTGGTGTTTCTTAGGACAGGAATGAGAGAGCAAGGTGCTTGAGCATGGGTGGCCTAACAGGCT